CTTATATCATAGGATACCTAGTATTCCAGCCTTATGTCATACGGATACCTAGTGATCCAACCTTATGTCACACAGATGCCTATTGATCCAGTCTTATGTCATACAGATACCAAGTGATCCAGCCTTATGTCATACAGATACCTAGTGATCCAACCTTATGTCACACAGATACCTATTGATCCAGTCTTATGTCATACAGATACCAAGTGATCCAGCCTTATGTCATACAGATACCTAGTGATCCAACCTTATGTCACACAGATACCTAGTGATCCAGCCTTATGTCATACAGATACCTAGTGATCCAGCTTTATGTCATACAGATACCTAGTGATCCAGCCTTATGTCATACAGATACCTAGTGATCCAGCCTTATTTCATACAGATACCAAGTGATCCAGCCTTATATCATAGGATACCTAGTGATCCAGCCTTATGTCATACAGATACCTAGAGATCCAGCCTTTTGTCATACAGATACCAGGTGATCCAGCCTTATTTCATACAGATACCAGGTGCTCCAGCCTTATGTCATACACATACCAAGTGATCCAGCCTTATGTCATACACATACCAAGTGATCCAGCCTTATGTCATACAGATACCAGGTGATCCAGCCTTATTTCATACAGATACCTTGTGATCCAGCCGTATGTCATACAGATACCAGGTGATCCAGCCTTATATCATAGGATACCTAGTGATTCAGCCTTATATCATACAGATACCAGGTGATCCAGCCTTATATCATAGGATACCTAGTGATCCAGCCTTATATCATAGGATACCAGGTGATCCAGCCTTATATCATAGGATACCTAGTGATCCAGCCTTATGTCATAGGATACCTAGTGATCCAGCTTTATATCATAGGATACCTAATGATCCAGCCTTATGTCAGACAGATACCTGGTGATCCAGCCATTTGTCATACAGAGTCCAGATGATCCAGCCTTATGTCATGCAGATACCAAGTGAAACAGCCTTATGTCATACAGATACCTAGTGCTCCAGCCTTATGTCATACAGATACCAGGTGCTCCAGCCTTATGTCATACAGATACATATCGATCTATCCTTATATCATAGATACCTAGTGCTCCAGTCTTATGATATACAGATACCTAGTGATCCAGCCTTATTTCATACACATGCCTAGTGATCCAGCCTTATGTCATACACATACCTTGTGATCAAGCCTTATGTCATACAGATACCTAGTGCTCCAGCCTTATGTCATACAGATACCTACTGATCCAGCCTTATGTCATACAGATAACTAGTGATCCAGCCTTATGTCATACAGATACCTAGTGATCCAGCCTTATGTCATACAGATACCTAGTGATCAAGCCTTATATCATAGGATACCTTGTAGTATTCCAACCTTATGTCATACAGATACCTAGTGATCCAACCTTATGTCATACAGATACCTCGTGATCCAACCTTATGTCATACAGATACCTAGCGCTCCAGCCTTATATCATGCAGATACCTAGTGATCCAGCCTTGTGTCATACAGATAACTAGTGCTCCAGGCTTATGTCATACAGATACCTAGCGCTCCAGCCTTATGTCATACAGATACCTAGTGATCCAGCCTTGTGTCATACAGATAACTAGTGCTCCAGCCTTATGTCATTTAGATACCTAATGATCCAGCCTTATGTCATACAGATACCTAGCGCTCCAACCTTATGTCATAGGATACCTAGTGATCCAACCTTATGTCATATAGATACCTAGTGATCCAGCCTTATGTCATACAGATACCTAATGATCCAGCCTTATGTCCTACAGATACCTAGTGATCCAGCCTTATGTCACACAGATACCTATTGATCCAGTCTTATGTCATACAGATACCTAGTGATCCAGCCTTATGTCATACAGATACCTTGTGCTCCAGCCTTATGTCATACATATACCTAGTGCTCCAGCCTTATGTCATACAGATACCAGGTGCTCCAGCCTTATGTCATACAGATACATAGCGATCTATCTATATATCATAGATACCTAGTGCTCCACCCTTATGTCATACAGATACCTAGTGATCCAGCCTTATGTCACACAGATACCTTGTGATGCAGCCTTATATCATACAGATACCAAGTGATCCAGCCTTATATCATAGGATAACTAGTATTCCAGCCTTATGTCATGCAGATACCAAGTGAAACAGCCTTATGTCATACAGATACCAAGTGATCCAGCCTTATTTCATACACATGCCTAGTGATCCAACCTTATGTCATACAGATACCTAGTAGCTTATGATACATAGATACTATCTATCCTTTGTCATACAGATACCTAGTGATCCAGCCTTATGTCATACAGATACAAAGCGATCTATCCTGATATCATAGATACCTAGAATGTTATCAATGCGGAATTTCAGCATTTCGCTCATTGTTTTCAGGTGAAATTTGCTTTCATTATTGACAAATAGTACCGAACCTGTCCAGATGTAAATATATCTATGTTCGCCCTGTTAAGTAACATTTGTCCAAGGTGTTCTTACAACGCCCTTACCTGGCGGTAATTGTCCTTTTAGCTGTCAGTATCCCACACCTGGGATGGCGTTCCTTTACCGGAACTACGGTATGCCCTCGTACTTCCTTAAGACTTCGCTGACTTGGTTGACACATGTCCTCTGTTCCCAATTGCTCAGATCAATTCTCATGCTGTTGATCACTAGATTATTAGGTCCAGACTCGATTATTTACAGACCGCCGCCATATAGCTGGAATATTCCGAAGTGCGGCGCAAAACAAAACTCACTCACTCACTCTCCCCCTTCCCACCATTTCTGTCTTACTATCACCAAGGTGCCAGACCCTGCTGCCCATACCCCGATAACACAGGTGGCTTCTTTAACCTAAACCTACTTGGCAGAGATCTACAATCACCTCTCCTTGCTGGGGCTCCCGACTGTACTAAATGCACCAATCTACCATCATGTCTCCGACCTTTCCTTCCCTAGTTACTGAATGTTTCCCTTGAAGATAGTATTAATCATGTTATAATTTGTCTCCCATTATGTCTTAATTACCAGTATTAATGATCTAGACTTCATATCAATTATTTAAATAAGTAACATAGTTTCATGTTTATAATACAAATACCCCATGGATCAAGTTTGTCATAAGGGATAGTCATGTCTAAGGTTGAAACGCGACATGCTTTAACATTCTTTAATTTGGCTTCTTTCTCAGATGGTTAAAATTCCAGCAAATCCTTTGCAATTTTGAAAATTGACATGGTTTCTATTTTCCTTGTTTTAAATACGTTTTCTGTATTCAGTCTTATTGTTCATTGTATATGGGAGAGTGGGATTGGGTGGTGCAGGTGACTGATCCGGCAATGTATCACTTATTGTGCAAATTGTTGTGGAGAGTTTGGAATCCGGTTGAATCGCATGGGGACGCGCATTTGATAGTACTGAAACTACTGATGCATGGTTTGGGGCGGAGTCGTTCCTGGCTTTAATTTGTGAACACTAATGCAATATTATTTATGGCATCTGAGATCTTATTCGTGGGAACAATAGCTTTGCATGGCAGCTAGCGGGGACAGAATGGGTATGTACCAGTTCTCTTGCCTCTTCATCAGTGTCTGCGTTCCATCAGTGCTATCATTCCACCCTGACGTGACCACTCTGGGAGAGTGAGAGGTCAGCAGGTTACTCTTCTCTATTGGTCCATTTTAGCATATGCTTAAACAGCATCCATAATGGTGTAAAAGTTGTAATCGAATGTTCTCGCTACAGGAGACTTGTCACGGTAGTTTGGTCCATATTAGAATAACAGAGGAAGATTGCTGTTTTTAAGAGTGTATACCTCACATGTGCTGATACGTCCAACAGACTGGCAGTACCACGATGAGTCTTGGCAGCAACAGGTTGTGGGATGTGCAAGTCCATGCTCGACACGGAACAGCTTGATGTCAAAGGATAAAGCAATTCGGCAAATTTAACAAATTCAAATAGCCACCATACAGACAGGATTCCACCCACGCCCAGAGAGAATTTACCTACTGTAAAACGTTCTGGAAAAATAATCTATTTTAATATGTCTTGTCTCATTTGCCTGCTGTTGGAGGTACTGTTGCAGATCTTCAGCATTTGAAAGGAAAGGACAAGACAGCAGACCTGACCTCATTTAGATTTGTCTACTTTGCATAGGAACTACTTTTGACCCATGAACCAGTGATGGCTATATATAAATCATGACCTTGTGAAAATATACATCTTTTTACTGAGAGTTGTATCAGTGTTTTAGGTGTTATGAATTAATCACAAACAGGCACATAAGACAAGACATATTAAAATGGAATATGTTCTCAGGACATTTTACAATATGTACATTCTGTACCTCTGGTACACACAATTTATAGTTCTCTGAGTGGTCGATGATCCACTGGTACTAAAACGATATAGCGACCTCAGCTTGCAGTCAGTGGCTCCCCTTGTTCCAGATTCCAACGTCTACAGACATGCTGTATATATTCTTCTACAATTAAGGATGTTATGACGTCATGTTGAGGTTTTGAGAACGTATCTTGGACCAGTAACGAGTGATTGCAGGTACGGCATAAAATTGCATAAACCTCTCTACAGCGATCCAGGGGCGATTTTATTTGGGAACGATTCACAAATCAGCTGAGCAGATGAATGTATATAGACCCTGGGTAAGATAAGTGTCGATTGCTTTTATAGACAGATAAATACAGTTTGGAAGCAGGTGAAGAAATTCTTTCCTTTAGTGTTCCTGCACGGGGGGCGTAGACGTCTTGTGTGTACAAATATTGATTGTGTAGAGCTGCGTTTGTGAGTCGTGCATAGGGCCTATTAATATAGTCCCAGGTTCTACCTGATGAGGGTTACAGCTTGACGAGCATCAAGTGAGAGAATTTCACTTGAGACTTACATTACCACAACCTGACAGGCCGTGTGTAAGTGAGGTGTTGTTCAAAAATACCTCAAACTTAATTTATTAACACATACTTGTAGAGAGCAAACTGTATGTTCAAAAAATAGCAACCGACAGTGTGGATAGATACACAGACACTCATCATACACTTGATAAATTAAACAACCAATTACTTCCCGAGTGTGGCGGATTATCTGGAAAGATATGCTTTGGGTACATGTCATATCCAAATAGTTCAAAATCAGGCTTGAATAATTTTCTGATTTTCTCAAGGTCGTCCTGTGGAACAAGCTGAAATGCTCTCTGTAAGACTTCCTGTTTTTGATGCTTAAGAAAACTATGGCCATCATCTGAACCCCGCCCGTTTAACAGAGCTTTGATAAATTGCCGGGAGGATGTCGTCTTGAGACTCCTTTCAGTGAAAGGCATTGCATAATCCTTCCTCACAATTCCCCGAATTTGCATTTTGTGCCAGATACGTTTAGCTGCTTCGTAAAATGACATACACTTTTGAATGTTCATTTTCCACCCAAAAGGACTAAGCGTTGAATCAATGACCGCGTCCTCTTCGGCTTTCGATGACCAAAACTTCAGCGAATTTGAACTGACGTTGTACCCAAGAGCGTTCAGTATGAATGCTGTGTCATCCTTGAATGTTTCCATCTTGCCGATGATGTTGTAGGGCACCTGACAGGGTTTGCACTGGTCATATGTGGGGGTGAAGTGTGCGTCCCGATGGGTGTCATTCCTTGCTTCCGTGTCCACCACATATTGCACAAACTCAGGGAACGTGACGTCATGGCCACAGCGAAGACTTTGTGGACTCGGATCTTTCCTGTAATTTGATATGATGAATTTGCCGATGTGAGTCCAAAAGTAGGGATTTGGCGCGAACAACTTGTCCACGTATCCTGAGATTAACCTCGAGAATGGCTCACGAACAAACATTATATTGACCGATTCTTTCAAGTACTGTTGTGTTGATGAGCTATTCAAAGGTAGCAGTTTCTGCAGCGTCTCTCGTTTCGACATCAGCGCTTTGTTGATGCTGATGTCATAGGGAGTGTTTATTGTTGCATTTTGTCTCATTGCATAGAATATTCTCCTCCAGTATGTTGAACCGACCTTGAGCAGTGGACAGTACAATGTTCCCCGGGCAGTGTCCACCTCTATCCGCTCCAATGCCCACTTCTCCGAGGTCAACCCTCTGAGTTCCGTCTCCCGTCCCCGACACCCATCCTGCACTTGCTGCTCCCTGACCATAAAGCGTCGGCCTACCGGAAACAGGTCGTAGTAACTCAGGTTCTCCTTCTTAACTTCTTTGATCTGGAATCCTTGGGTGCTGTGCTGCAAAGATAAAAAATCACATAACATATTCATCAGTTAATCAACACCTTCTACATAACTCTAACATACATAGATGACATGAAAGAGTGGGTGAGTGATTATGGTTTTACACCGCTTTTAGCAATATTCCAGCAACATCACGGCGGGGGACACCAGAAATGGGCTTCACACATTGTACCCATGTGGGAAATCGAACGCGGGTCTTCGGTTATGGTGTTTAGATAAGATAAGATAACATCAAATATCATTTATTTTGTTTTCTTAACATTTAAGAGAATATATTTGTTCTGACACCAATCTGTAAGATAAGAGATTTCTGATCGACAGCAGCTTCTTGAGAGTGATTGAGTATGGTTTTACGCCGCTTTTAGCAATATTCCAGCAATATGACGGCGGGGGACACCAGAAATGGGTTTCACACATTGTACTCATGTGGGGAATCGAACTCGGGTCTTCGGCGTGACGAGCCAACGCTTTAACCACTTGGCTACCCCGAGGCGTGAGAACAATTCAATAAAGCAATGTCTGCAGCGTCGTCCGCATATTTCACATTAAGACATAGATCCAGTTCGCATTCAATCTTAAGTGCTATATTTAGGAAGATAAGGCTTTGGTGAATGAACAGTGTAGAACATGGAACATGATTCACCTCCGAAGACAGTTTCCTGCCAAAATAAATACTTAGAATTTACATGAACTCTATGTGCAACTATGTATGTAATATACTGTGAAATGTAGCTGTTAAAAATACGACAAGGCGTCCTGCCAATTTAAGTAATGAGGTACCTTCGTAGTTCTATGATAGTGACAATTTTGGTACCAAGGTTTCGGCAAGAAGTAACATAGATTCACGACTTCGCCGACTACAGATTACTACTATAAAACGCACATATATATCAAGTATACCACGACAGTGTTACCAGAACATAAAGTGCAATAGTTGAATGAAGGACCGTATTTATCGTTCTGTCCTCCTAGGCTTTTAACACAAGACATGCAGTTTTCGTACATTGTGTGAGCTTAAACCCTCATTGTGAGAGTCATATTTGTCCAGCAAGATTAGTAGGGGGGGTCGTGAAGGGAGCTAACTCTGCTTGTCTAACTGACGGCATGCAAACTGTTTTCATTCGAAACAAATCCCTTCGTTTTCTTTCGTTTTGTTTATGGCAGCACTATTTCAACAATATGTCGGTAAATCAATAAACATATATCATGGAGTCTGCGCCAGGCAGCCTAGTGACTGATATTGTGAACAACGATCACAATGACCACAACGATCACAACGACCACAACGATCACAATGATCACAACGACCACAACTATCACAACGATCACATCGACCACAACGATCACAAGGATCCGGGGTGCTATGGTAAGAAATCAGCGCCGTCACCGAGCCTGACCGTAGTCCCGTCCAACAGCATCTTTAGTTCTTACAAACAATATGCATGCCGTCCACTGGGCGTGCACCAAACTGCTTTACGAAATAATATTCTTGCCCAAAAAAGGTATTTTTTGAAAAATATAAAATACAATCGGAATATTTACGTCAGCATTACTAGTAAGTAACAAGAACATATATGTCCATATAAGTTTCCATTTAATCTATCTATTTGTGCTGTTCGGATGATCTAAACGGTTTAGCGAATTCAACTATACCATTTTCCCCTCAAGGATGCGTAAGACAGATGACAATGAATAATCACATAACTATACATGTATCACCTCACGGGTACCTGTCAGCCGGCGATCTGACAAGTTGGCCACAATGCAAGTTGGGTATTAACATTAACCTGACTGTGTACCTTCAGCTTCACGTCAGTGGTCAGACATCTTTATAGTTGGGCGACGAGACAGGTTGGCCTGGAATGAATATAGGCCCTATCTTGTGGGTCAGCTGACCTGGACAAAGGTTTGTTGTTTGTTTGGTAATCAACACCTGGATGTTGCCGCGCCTGGTTTACAAACAAGCCGTCGTGTCCTCATCGGGACAATATTGGTAATTGACGGAGCAAATGTTACACACAGGGCTAAACAAATTCAAAGGTGAGTCGTAAATGATACAACAATATTTGTATTGCACGTTTTGGGCTATTGTCCAAGAGAAGGCGCTACGTGTATAGCTCAGTGCAACACCAGAGTTGATCGTCTCTTTTCATAATCATTTCATAATCGTCATGGAAGAACAACGGAAGTGACGTATATCACAAACTAGGTCAGGAACTTAGGCTAGTATTAGTCATAATCTTGCTTGCAGTTATCCCACGTTATAATGGAGACACGCTGCTTCAAAACATTGATTCGTTTCGTCTGAAAAGAACAGTCGAGGCAATCTTAATATGTTCCACCATTAAAACTATTTTCCAGTAAATTCCGGGCGTGCATACCCCATTCCCACCATGTCCACCCTACAGCCAACCCCTCACATACCCGGAATATAAGATGGTCACGCGGAATGCGTCAGTCTGTCTATCATGTATTCTTGGTCTAGATCTTTCGGTATGCCTATTAACGATATGTCCATGCAACTGAGGACAAACAATATGTAGCCATTCCGTCATGAGATATATGTTTCATGAATATTCATTGAAGATTCACCCAAATCGTGTTTTACTACGTGACGTCAGTGGATTTGGTACTTACTGTATGATTCCGGAACATTGCCATGACGTCACTAAAGCGACCTTTGAGCTCATGACTAACTGGTAAATTCTGGGACTCTGTAAAGAGAAGCCCATATTTATTTGATGTCACTCACATTAGTTTACGACAGATCGACATAATGCAGATAGAGACACATCTGACTGTGTTATCTGACGTATGGCGAAAGGTATATGTGGTCACAGATTGCTCCTGAAGTGCTGGATTAAAGCTAGATGGGACTAGGAGTGCATTTGACACGCAATGTGCATGTTGCCATGGTAACCAGATCACAAAGAACAGGGATGTAGGGCTACACGTGCACACACTACACCCTGTGGAACATCTGCTGTCTGCATCAGCTTCACAGACCATGTAAACCAAAAGATGTGTAGTAACGTATTATACCTGCGTGTACTCGCTTGTCCTTCATGCGAGCTGACGCTAGTTTGACCTACCAACTAACAACAGGGAACCTAATACTACAGAGCTGCCCATGAGGCTCGAGTCTATAAAGTGGCTTGATCATGTTCACCATGGCCGGAAGATCCCACAATGCAGTTCGTAAGTGTAGGAGTTACCATGAATAGTCCAAAGAGTGGTACACCACGCGGAATCCAAATGAGTGACAAAGGTATTGATACGAAATAATTTGCTAGCCAGTCGGGCTAGCTCTGCCTGAAAGTTACTAGCCTACACAATAATTCACTAGCCCCAAATTTGAGTGTAGACACAAAAGATTACAAAAATAGGTGAGAATAAGATATTGTCGGCATGACACGGATTTCATCATTAAGTTGCTAATATCATGAACATCTTAATCAGGCCATAATTCTGCATGATTTAAAAATGTATTATAACTTAACAAGTTCGAGAGAGTGACATATTTACAAAATGACCCCATGAAAATTCACTAGCAATTCGGGCCAGTGGCTGTGGAGATTTACTGGCCCGACTGGATTTTTACTGGCCACAGGCTGGCGGGCCAGTGGTTATTTCACACACTGTATTGATACTTTGACGCCCTATTCTTTGTGTTATGTATACAGTAGTTGGCCATAAGTGAGTCATCATTAGTGAAATTTCCATAGACTACATGTTTATTAACTGTTGCAAGCATAATGTTCGCAAATTGAGTAGAAGTCATTTTATTTTGACATTGTGCAAACATCCTGGAAATCATCTTCAGCTACGTGTACATAATTTTCTTTCATGTTTCCGTTGATTAGTTATCGAATGACACCTGATTAAGCACCATATATAAGTACAACTTTTAATCTATCCCATAGACAGCAATGTTAAACCTGATTGGTATGTCTGATACATTTTGTTTAAATAGCTGCAGTTTTCTTAATAATAATCGGAAAATTGAATGGAAAGTATGTGTATGTATAGCTGAGATGATTTCCCAGCTGGTAGATAAGTATTAAAAGTTTCGACCGAAACTAAATTATGAAAATTATTCTTGCAAGAGTTTACTAACATGGGAATTGCATTAATGATGACTCACTTAAGGCCAACTACTGTACGTATTCAGTGAAGATGTGTTCGTGCTACATCGTGAGGTCACCATCCTCTGTATCCCATACATGATGCCATATGGCGCGGTATTGTTACCGTGTATGTTGACCAGCATGATGACGAGGGATGCGGTGATGCACACACACAGCATCACGTTGATGCTGAATCTCCTGTTCAGATAGCGCCACGCCCTCGCCACACCCCGTCGGCATCTACTCCACGGCTTCCTCATGCTGACATAGTCTCTGGAACATACAACACGGTACATGGTTTTGTTAGACGCATTTGTTTATAGAAAAGGGATGAGTGAGTGAGTGAGTTAACATTTAAAGTCACATCGGCAATATTTCAACCACATCGTGACTAGTTGTAAATTCATAATACATACATATAATATATAAAACCCTGTCAACGAAGGACAGATTATCACAAAATGACTTATTAAAACTAGCTAGCGTATATCTTTAAAAGTAGAAAAATTTTTTGACAATACAATGTAAAAATGGGCTATTGGTCGCCAGCAACAGAAGGTAGATCCCCACACTAGGGTCCATGGGACTTAAATTACTTTTGCTACCAGCGTGGACCCTAGCTGGATTTACACAATCCCTTCAGTCGCTGGCGTTTATGCTGAGAGTTAGCCATACCTTAAAAATACAAAAATACTACGATTAAAAACCTGGTAGACTTAACTTTACTTGAAATGTTTTGGGACTTCCGTAGAAAGGGATGAAATCCGTGTGTTAACTGTTTCGCAAAATACACTAGCAGATAAATTGATTAATTTTCGCATGACATACTAGTAATTTACCTTTTTCTCACCTTCAAGACCAGACTTCATGCTGGTGATCTGTCTGTGACTGAGTATACAGATTGTGTATCTCCTCTCACTGGGTACTACTAATGTGTAATGTAATGATGTAAAATAACATGTAGTTGACAATTGCAGCAGTACAAGATAAGATCATGTTATAGTACTGTGGAAGATCTAGTGAGAGTGAGTAAGTGAGAATGGCCCCATTGGGTAAGCTGGTCGACATGTCGAATACAAGCTTCATTTCAATGTATATTGACCGCTGGTCGACATGTCGAATACAAGCTTCATTTCAATGTATATTGACCGCTGGTCGACATGTCGAATACAAGCTTCATTTCAATGTATATTGACCGCTGGTCGACATGTCGAATACAAGCTTCATTTCAATGTATATTGACCGCTGGTCGACATGTCGAATACAAGCTTCATTTCAATGTATATTGACCGCTGGTCGACATGTCGAATACAAGCTTCATTTCAAAGTATATTGACCGCTGGTCGACATGTCGAATACAAGATTTATCTCAATGTATAGTGACCGCTGGTCGTCATGTCGAATACAAGCTTCATTTCAATGTATATTGACCGCTGGTCGAGATGTCGAATACAAGATTTATCTCAATGTATATTGACCGCTGGTCGAGATGTCGAATACAAGCTTCATTTCAATGTAAATTGACCGCTGGTCGACATGTCGAATACAAGATTTATCTCAATGTATAGTGACCGCTGGTCGACATGTCGAATACAAGCTTCATTTCAAAGTATATTGACCGCTGGTCGACTTGTCGAATACAAGCTTCATTTCAAAGTCTATTGACCGCTGGTCGAGATGTCGATTACAAGATTTATCTAAATGTATATTGACCGCTGGTCGACATGTCGAATACAAGATTTATCTCAATGTATATTGACCGCTGGTCGAGATGTCGAATGCAAGATTTATCTTAATGTATATTGACCGCTGGTCGACATGTCGAATACAAGATTTATCTCAATGTATATTGACCGCTGGTCGACATGTCGAATACAAGATTTATCTCAATGTATATTGACCGCTGGTCGAGATGTCGAATACAAGCTTCATTTCAATGTATATTGACCGCTGGTCGACATGTCGAATGCAAGATTTATCTCAATGTATAGTGACCGCTGGTCGACATGTCGAATACAAGCTTCATTTCAATGTATATTGACCGCTGGTCGACATGTCGAATACAAGATTTATCTCAATGTATATTGACCGCTGGTCGACATGTCGAATACAAGATTTATCTCAATGTATATTCACCGCTGGTCGAGATGTCGAATACAAGATTTATTTCAGTGTATATAGACCAGTGGTCGAGATGTATTTATCTCAGTAATGCCCTTTTTTCAGTGGACCCTTCATGCATGTAAACCTGTATCTAGTTAAGGTTTGTGAGGTGGTCTGCGCTGACAGCCCGCACGACACACTCACACTCAATGGCATGCATTCTCTGTCGCCAAGACCGTGGACAAAATTGTGCTTTAAACAACCCAGAATTCAGTTAACAAAACACAGTTAATTACCAGAATAACTGCGTTGGCCTGAGAATACTAAAAAACTCACACTCGATTTTAATGCGAAGAATGTTTGAGTTTGTACTGCTGATGATTGTATTAATAATATGTATTGATGTACTCGTGTACTGAATACCGTGAGATCTGTGTATTGTATTCCCCTGCGAGTCGCTGATGAGCAGGGTACTGAACGGTCAACACTGGATCGAACGTGAACTATTGACCAGTTTCATAATCCACTCCAGGCTAGCCACGGCCAGCCAGTGGATGGAGACTCGTAGTACGTGCACCATGCACAAAACTCCACCCACATATATCTAACAGTTTCCCCGCAATTAGTAGATACCTTGTCTCTCTGATTCATGCGAATACTAATTAAAGGTGTTCCTATATATTTGTAATGACGTATAATATTTCTATAGCACAGACGTAGAAACAATAGTAAACTTGCACAAGTCTCTAAGGTAAAATTAATAGTTTGAATGAAACACGTCACAATTTAATTCTGGACTCACAAAAGTCCAGAAACTCTCTGCACTGTGGGCACTTTCTGACAAGGGATTTGACCAAATTAAACAGTGGTTATGAATATATGCCAAGGATGAAAAAATGAAAAAAAAATCTTTCGAAAACTTTAAATTTAAACTCGCTCGCCCATGGGCAGGCCCATGGGCGAGAATGTTCAATTTCGATCAGAATTCATGTTTTGGAGGTTGTAAATGAATGAGTGTATGTTTGTAAGCATCATGAAACAAATTTCAACTCATTTTGCCTTAATTCGACTAATTTAGAGCGATATTAAAAAATCTCGCCCATGGGCGAAAAACAGTTTGGCCCATGGGCGAGAATATTGACTTTTACTCAAAATATATGTTTTTCCATGTTTTGGAGGTTGTAAATGAATGAGGGTATGTTTAAAAGTACCATGAAACAAAATTCAACTCATATTGACTTAATTCGACTAACTTAAAACGATGTTAAAAAATCTCGCCCATGGGCGAAAAATAGGTTGGCCCATGGGCGAGAATATTGACCTTTACTCAAAATACATGTTTTCCCATGTTTTTGAGGTTGTAAATGAAAGAGTGTATGTTTATAAGCATCATGACACAAATTTCAACTCATTTTAACTTAATTTGACTAATTTAGAGCGATATTAAAAATCTCGCCCATGGGCGAAACACATTTTGGCCCATTGGCGAGAATATTGGCTTTTAATCAAATACATGATTTTCCATGTTTTGGAGGTTGTAAATGAATGAGTGTATGTTTATAAGTACCTTGAAACAAAATTCAACTCATTTTGACTCCATTTGACTAACTTAGAGCGATGTTAAAAAATCTCGCCCATGGGCGAAACACATTTTGGCCCATGGGCGAGAATATTGGCTTTACTAAAATACATGATTTTCCATGTTTTGGAGGTTGTAAATGAATGAGTGTATGTTTATAAGTACCATGAAACAAAATTCAACTCATATTGACTTAGTTCGACTAACTTAGATGGATATTAAAACATCTCGCCCATGGGCGAAAAATAGGTTGGCCCATGGGCGAGAATATTGACTTTTACTCAAAATACATGTTTTCCATGTTTTGAAGGTTGTAAATGAATGAGTGTATGTTTATAAGCATCATGAAACAAACAACTCATTTTGACTTAATTTGACTAACTTAGAGCGATATTAAAAATCTCGCCCATGGGCGAAACACATTTTGGCCCATGGGCGAGAATATTGACTTTACTCAAAATACATGATTTTCCATGTTTTGGAGGTTGTAAATGAATGAGTGTATGTTTATAAGTATCATGAAACAAAATTCAACTCACATTGACTTAATTCGACTAACTTAGAACGATATTAAAAAATCTCGCCCATGGGCGAAACACATTTTGGCCCATGGGCGAGAATATTGACTTTTACTCAAAATACATGATTTTCCATGTTTTGGAGGTTGTAAATGAATGAGTGTATGTTTATAAGTACCATGAAACAAAATTCAACTCATATTGACTTAATTCGACTAACTTAGAACGATATTAAAAAATCTCGCCCATGGGCGAAAAACATTTTGGCCCATGGGCGAGAATATTGACTTTTACTCAAAATACATGTTTTCCCATGTTTTTGAGGTTGTAAATGAATGAGTGTATGTTTATAAGCATCATGACACAAATTTCAACTCATTTTAACTTAATTTGACTAATTTAGAGCGATATTAAAAATCTCGCCCATGGGCGAAACACATTTTGGCCCATGGGCGAGAATATTGACTTTTACTCAAAATACATGATTTTTCCATGTTTTGGAGGTTGTAAATGAATGAGTGTATGTTTAAAAGTACCATGAAACAAAATTCAACTCATATTGACTTAATTCGACTAACTTAAAACGATATTAAAAAATCTCGCCCATGGGCGAAAAATAGGTTGGCCCATGGGCGAGAATATTGACCTTTACTCAAAATACATGTTTTCCCATGTTTTTGAGGTTGTAAATGAAAGAGTGTATGTTTATAAGCATCATGACACAAATTTCAACTCATTTTAACTTAATTTGACTAATTTAGAGCGATATTAAAAAATCTCGCCCATGGGCGAAACACATTTTGGCCCATTGGCGAGAATATTGGCTTTTAATCAAATACATGATTTTCCATGTTTTGGAGGTTGTAAATGAATGAGTGTATGTTTATAAGTACCTTGAAACAAAATTCAACTCATTTTGACTCCATTTGACTAACTTAGAGCGATGTTAAAAAATCTCGCCCATGGGCGAAACACATTTTGGCCCATGGGCGAGAATATTGGCTTTTACTAAAATACATGATTTTCCATGTTTTGGAGGTTGTAAATGAATGAGTGTATGTTTATAAGTACCATGAAACAAAATTCAACTCATATTGACTTAGTTCGACTAACTTAGATGGATGTTAAAACATCTCGCCCATGGGCGAAAAATAGGTTGGCCCATGGGCGAGAATATTGACTTTTACTCAAAATACATGTTTTTCCATGTTTTGAAGGTTGTAAATGAATGAGTGTATGTTTATAAGCATCATGACACAACTCATTTTGACTTAATTTGACTAACTTAGAGCGATATTAAAAAATCTCGCCCATGGGCGAAACACATTTTGGCCCATGGGCGAGAATATTGACTTTTACTCAAAATACATGATTTTCCATGTTTTGGAGGTTGTAAATGAATGAGTGTATGTTTATAAGTACCTTGAAACAAATTTCAACTCATTTTGACTCCATTTGACTAACTTAGAGCGATGTTAAAAAATCTCGCCCATGGGCGGAACACATTTTGGCCCATGGGCGAGAATATTGACTTTTACTCAAAATACATGATTTTCCATGTTTTGGAGGTTGTAAACGAATGAGTGTATGTTTATAAGTATCATGAAACAAAATTCAACTCACATTGACTTAATTCGACTAACTTAGAACGATATTAAAAAATCTCGCCCATCGGCGAAACACATTTTGGCCCATGGGCGAGAATATTGACTTTTACTCAAAATACATGATTTTCCATGTTTTGGAGGTTGTAAATGAATGAGTGTATGTTTATAAGTACCTTGAAACAAATTTCAACTCATTTTGACTCCATTTGACTAACTTAGACGATGTTAAAAAATCTCGCCCATGGGCGAAAAATAGGTTGGCCCATGGGCGAGAATATTTACTTTTATTCAAAGTATATGTTTTCCATGTTTTGGAGGTTGTAAATGAATGAGTGTATGTTTATAAGTATCATGAAACAGAAGTCAACTCATATTGACTTAATTTGACTAACTTAGAGCGATATTAAAAAATCTCGCCCATGGGCGAAAAAGAGGTTGGCCCATGGGCGAGAATGTATAATTTCGATCAGAAGTCATGTTTGGGAGGTTGTAAATGAATGAGTGTATGTTTATAAGCATCATGACACAAATTGCAACTCATTTTGACTTAATTCGACTAACTTAGAGAGACATTAAAAAATCTGGATTATTTACGGTAACATGGATTAGCTAATAGCGAATTGCCGGGAGACCCACTTTCACACGATCACTCAACCATACCCATTGCCGGTTGAGCCAAACCATTTTCAACTCTTGTTCTCTTAAAAGTGGCTTTCCCGGACTATAGCTATCAGCACACCCCAATCCGACCATCTGTCATTAATTACCTGTCATGAGCTATCAGTTGTATTGAAAGCTTTCGCCTATTGTTTCATTACTTAATTTTTCACGGATTGGTATGTAGTCACTCCAAATTCACCCATATGTGCGTGACTGTCCTCTCCGACGTCCGCGCCCACCTCTCAACCTAGCAATCTCGATCCACTTTCTGCTCACTATCAAGCCATCTACAACTTCACCTCTCTCTCCAACCACCTGTCTTCTCAGAGGTCCGCGCGCCTCTATATTCCTTCATTTTTTCACATCAACTCTACCTCCCAACAACTACTGTCTCCTCCGAGGTCCGCGCGCCTACAGCCACCACCGACCCCGCCGCCTCTCAAGTACCATCCATAACAAACTCCACGGTCAAGGCCGCCAATAGCCCCTCAATTACTACACTCGCTCAGCCTGCCTTGCCCCCTCAATGCTCCCATACCACCCCTTCACCCCACCCACCCCTAGAAGGACTTACAAGGTCCTTTCATACGTTGGCGATTGTGCACAAATTTAGCCATCACTTAAAAACACAAGTATCCTACTATTATAAACCTGGTGTATCTAAATTTACTTCAAATGTTTTTAGACATACGTACCCTCTCAAGAAGACAAAACTGTGAAACCCGTAAAGGTCCGGGTCAGAATTGGCCTTCAGTAACCCATGCTTATCGTAAAAGGTGACTACCGGGATCGGGTGGTCAGGCTCGCTGGCTTGATTGACACATGTCATCGGTTCCCGATTGCGCCGAACCCGTGAAGATCCGGGTTAGAATTGATCTTCAGCAACCCATGCTTATCGTAAGAGGCGACTAACGGGATCGGGTGGTCAGGCTCGCTGGCTTGGTTGACACATGTCATCGGTTCCCAATTGCGCTGATCGATGTTCATGCTGTTGATCACTGGATTGTCTGGTCCAGGCTCGATTATTTACAGACCGCTGCCATATAGTTGGAATATTGCTGAGTGTGGCGTAAAACTAAACTGACTCATCCAACTGCTTAGATCGATGCTCAATTTGTTGATCACTGGATCGTCTGGTATAGACTCGATTATTTACAGACCGTCGCCATATAGCTGGAATATTGCTGAGTGCAGCCTAAAACTAAACTTACTCGCTCACTCACTCCAAACTGTGAAAATTAGGAACACCTCTAGCTACCAACAATGTCAACAAGAACATAATGGAGT